AACAATTAAGATTATAGATTACATTGGATTAGTGCAAGTCAATGAATTTAAAATAATTAAATATTTTAATTATTTTAATCGTTAACCAAGACCTATCAGCAGGAACCTCTATGTGAGGATTATATTCTCCTTTCCCAAATAATTATATTTCATATTTTTCATCCTTTATATTGTACTTCAACTTCTGGAAATGCTCCTCAAATTAAACATTCAATAGAAACTGGGTGTGATTTTAAACACTAACACAGCAGAAACACCTGCAAGGGTAGTGGGAGTAGGGAGGCAGGTCTGGATGGGAGCAAAAAATAAGAATGTGTTTTTTCTGTCTTATATTGACAAAAATATAAATAGCAGAGTGGGGGAGGGAGAAGTTTATTGTCAATCCCATTTTCTCATTAAAACTGTAGACAGTTCAATAAGTACCTGAAAGTGAGGCTTTTGTAATATTAATCCCAATGCTGACTTTCTTTGTTCTCTATATAATTACTTCTGTTAAAGTTTTTAAAAGTGGGGTAGAATCTCTGCCAACAATCCTCGTTTCTTGCAATAATAGGTTTGTATGTCCCTTCCAATCATCAAATAATCACTGCCTATATATATAGGCAATTCACTAACTCTCATTCAACTTCCACAGATGATTACTTCCCTGAAATGAGTAGGACAAGAATTATCTGAGTTGGCATAGATATTCCTTCTCAGCAGAACACAGAAAGTAACAGCTAAATCAGCAACAGTTCTGTATATCAACAAAACCTGAGATGCATAAATCACAATTTTAAATCCCAGTCTTCTTTCCATGTCTCCAGGGAAGGAGAAAAGAAATCACAGATACCAAGACTAGATTTCTTCTGTGCTATTTACACTGCAAACAGCCAGAACAAGTCAGCACACAGAATTAAGCTGACGGAAGTGAAATTTTGGCCACGGACAGAAAGAGTAGGGTAAAAGCTAGAAATGAGTCAGAGATGACCCTAAGATAACAAGCAGTGTTTATAGTTCTTATAAATTCCTCCCAAATGACAAGATTTTTGCTGGTCTCATAGTGACCCTGTGAATCTCTAGCTCACTCTGGAATTTCTGTCTGTTTAGTAAAAGTCCCCTCTTCCAAATAGCCCCTACCCTATGAAATGAGTGAGAGACCAGGAGACAGAGCTTAGGAGGGAACTGTTCAGGGCAGGAGATGCAGAAATGGGGCAGAATGTGGAATTGTGTGGAACAAAACTACAGAGCTTATTTTGGAGCTAGGGCAACAGGTGTGACTGCTGACAAGTGAGAGCTCTGGAAGTTCCAGAGGATGATAGCTGCAAAGTTTACTGGATACTGGACCTCACACATGCTGGGGATGGGGAAAGGCACAGCTCACTACATGCACAAACATATTTCTCTTAAAAATCTCATCACTGATTGGCATGACAAGTCATATCTATAAGGGCAAAAATGCTAGCTTTGAGTAGGAGAAGAAAAGTGATTACTAGTTGTTTGAGAGAATTTATTCCAGGAAAATTTGTTCCTTGGTTTAGAACTAGTAAAACACCTGGGTAGTAGCCTAAAGATAAAACGAGTAGAGATGAGAGTACTATATGCATGAATGTGATCTCCATAGGAACTAAACCTTTTTTAATTGTCCACATGACATTAACCACGGTCATCCTTTGCAAGACCAAACCTGCTGTTAAACATGACAAAATACAAGTCCAAAAAGAAAAATAATAAAAAGTCCAACAAAAATAATACGCTATAAAGCAGTGTATCTAAGACTGCTGAATCACAGTTGTATAGTTTTTCTTGTTCTACACTCAATATGAGGCAAGATCTCTACTGTACCCAAATTATTAAATAGAAAATAATGAGATGGTGCATTAAGGAAAGAGACAATAAGAACATCAGATGATAAATGATTTGTAGAAGTTGTGGGTAATTTTTAAAAGTGTTTAGTTAAGTGCCTAAAAGGCCCCAGTGATGTATAAGGACATTCTCCATGCATTCTGCAATTCTCTGTGTGCTGAACATCTGAAATTTCATATTTGCTGTTAAATAGTTGTCTGCTTTATTGGAGAGGATTTGTAGCAATAGGCAGTGGATTTGACTGCAAATGTACAGAAGATGCAACTTCTGCCTAGCAACATGAATTTACCTGACTCTCTATTTCCCAATTAGGGAGCTAAGAGTACCCACAGTACCCCGCTAGTGCTATGCAATTCACATGGCCTCAGAAGGGAATTGGGAGACACAGCCCATCATGGGAGGCCACTTCCTTCTTCTTGTAATGCCCAGAGATTTGGAGGTAGCATATGAGACAGCATGAGTGTCTCTGCTACCTAGGTAGCACAAGAGATCAAGCATTGTGATCTTGAGGCCAGTGGAGAATAAGAAATCTTTGTCCAATCTCAAAGTGAATAAATAAAGGACTGAAAGCAATTTATTAAAAATTAGAAGAAGAGGAGCCATGAACAATGACAGTAACTGTTCAACAGAAAGATAATGTAAGTGAAGAATGAAAGCAGAGCAGCAATTTATGTTGTATGGAGTCATCACAGCCCACTTGTGTTGACAGAGAAATAAACCAGTGAATAGGAAGAGGCTCAGGCTGACAAGAGCACTGAAAGGGACTGGGAAGTTTGGGCTGGAAGAAACTGAGTGCTTCCATAGGTGGATATGTTTGGAGTGAAGAATGTGCATGAATTTCAGTTTCAGCTCTAAAATCAAAAGACTAAAGGGGCTGGAAAAGAGAAGGTAGTAAGAAACATACAGTATTATCCACTTGTTTTTTTCTAGGATGCTGGTATGATCTTGCGAAGAGAGATGAGAGTGACGAGGAAAGGGACAGAGGAATGAAGCTACCAAAAAGTTGGCGTCCTCTGCAAAAATGTTAGGTCAGAAAGCTGGCCGGACTGCGACTGCAAGGCATTGACCTCATAAGGCATAAGGTCCTCTTTCTGTATTTTTCCAAAAATGTTGTATTCTGAAGACTTTTTTTTTTTCAAAACATAATTTGACAAATATCGGGCATCTGACATGCCCACTAGCATCGTTAAGGTTTAGTCAAATTAATTTTATCTGCCTGTTGTGGCTTCAGTGCACTTTGCCCCTGGCACAGGATGGCAGGGAGCTAAACCCGAGCAATTAACTGATAACCAAGTGTGCCTAATGCCCGACTGCACCGCCCCGAGGAGGCCGCTGGGCCGCGGGGTGGGCGCCGCGCTCTGCCCCAGGTTTTTGCCGTACGGTAACACCGGGACCACCGCTATCTCCTCCGTGGGTAGGGCGCTGCAGAAACACCGTGCAAGCGGGGCTCCTCTCCGTGTAAGCGGCGGAGGAAAGGGCAAGCTCCGCAACGGGCAGCGATGCCGGCAGCCCGGCCGGCCGTGCGGACGGGCAGCCAGAGCAGCACCACGGACACTGCCTCGGCCTCCCGCCAGCGGAGAGCCGGCTGCGGGGATCGCACCGCGGGGCCGGGGCCGGGGCCAAGCCGGGTGCTGCGGTCCCGCTCCGGCGGGGCAGAGCCGTCCCCACGGGGCGCGGGTGCCTCGGCAAGGGAGAAAAGGGTGCTCTTCCCGACTGTAGTCTCAGCCTGACCGCGAACAACCTGTGTTTACACAGGGCGACTCCTGGGGCTCTCAAGTTTAGCGCTGGGACAAAATTTATTGCGGTTATTCCAGGGGAGGGAAGAGCTCGGATGCTTGAGGCAGCGGCGGCGAAAGGGACCGGAGGGAGAGAACGGGCAGGGGAAGGGACGGCGGGTCAGATCGGCACCGGGGTCTCCTCGGACAGTTTTACTCGTCAGCAATTTGGCAGTAACTTTCCCATGCGGCTTCTTTCCATGTTTAGCCGAAAATATCAGCGCAATGTCTCAGAGATTCGTCACCTAATGGGACATGAGCCGCGTCCCCGGTCACCGAGACCCGCCGGTCCTCCCGGTGCTTGGCGAGCGACAACCTTGCCCCCAGTGATTCCCGTTCTGTCCCCAGGTGTCCTGCTGTCCTTGTCCTCTGTGGAGCCCGGTGCCTTTCCGCTTCTCCCCCAATAACCCCCTATTTTGGGCGGTCGCCTGTTATTCTGGGCTTCTCTGCCGGGGCGACCTGCGGCTGTGACGGTGTCAGTCCGGCGGAGGCGGGAAGAGGCGGGGGCAACGGGGGACGTGGAGTGACAGGCACGGACATCACGGTGCCACGGAGATGGTGTCATTTGTCTTTCAGCCTTAACGCTGTGATTCGCCCCTTCCGTCCCCTGATTACTTTCTGTTACTGGGGCTGCATGAGCGCTCGGAGCTGACCTTCCTTCTCACTGGCCGCGGGAGCCCCGCTCGCATCGCTCCCCGGCCACCAGAGGCTCGGGGTTTTTCCGTCTCCCATCCCCGTGCCCAGCCCGGAGCGCTCCCGCCGCCGCCACGCCGGTCCTGCCTCTCCCGGCGTGACCTTCCCAACATGGCGGCGCGGCCGCCCCTGCTCCTGCGCCCGCCGCCGCCGCGAGGGGCCTCCCCGGCGAGGGGCGGTAGCGGCTGTCAGCGGGCGGGGCGGGACCCGGCCGGGCGCGGGCGCGGGGCCGGGCCGGGCGCTGCGGGGCGGTCCCGGCGCCGCGCACTCTGACAGGCGCTCGGCCAGCAGACGGCGGCCGCGCCGGGGTGCAGAGCCCGCCGCGCACCCTCCCACCGCCGCAGAGGAGCCGACGGGGAGACGGCGTCGCCTCGGCGGGGAGACGCGGCGCGAGCGGCGCTGGAAAGCCCCGACCGCCCCCATACCTGTGCCCTCCGGGGGCGGTGAGTGGGTGTAGCCGCCGCCGATCACCTGGGAACCCGCCCCGCAGCGCCTCCGCCTCCCGTCCTCGCCCGCCCGGGGAAGGCGCCACCGCCACAGCGAGCGAGCGAGCGAGCTCCGGGCGGCCGCGGGCAGCAGGAGCGGGGCCCGCGGGTGGAGCGAGGCGAGGGCTGCGGCGCCGGTGGGGCTCGCCCGCTCCCGGCAGTCGGGGCCAGGCGGGCAGCAGGGGCGGCGGCCCCCGGCCGGCGGCGCCCGCGGCGCGGGGCGCTAGAGCCGCGGCAGGATGAACCCCAATGTCACCTACGCCAGTCGCAAGCGGCGGAAACCTGTGCAGAAAATGTAAGCGGAGCCGCGGGCGGGCGAGGGGCGAGGCGAGGAGGGCAGAGCGAGCGCCGGGCTTCCCGCGGCCGCGCCGTCCTGCCCCGCTCCGCGCCGCGGGCCCCGGCGGGGGCGGTGCGGGGCAGGGGCGCCAGGAGCGCTGCTGCTGGTTCGGGGTGCCGGCAGGACTCTTACTGCTTTTAGGGGTTTTCCCTCCACCCCGATGAAAAAGAAGAAGGGAGGCTCGGGGCGCGGAGGGTCGGGGCGGTGGAAGGAGGGAGCGGTGCCGGCAGCGCGGCGCAGCCGGCTGACCTACATTGGGAGGCATCTGAGGTGACGGCTCCATGCGGGGCCGCCGTGGGCGAGGGCCGCGCTCCCCCCGCACCGCTCCCGGCCTGCTCAGGTGTCTCTGCGGAGAACGCGGGTCGGAGTCGGGAAAGGCTTGGCCGGTTCCCATCCCCGATTTAGGGCCTGCCTGGGAGGGCTGAACCCCCGGCTTGAGCCCTCCTCTTGAACCCTCCGGTACCGCGTGAGATGCGCTTATTTGTGCAGAGTCAAAGAAACCCAAGTGCTGTGGACCAGTCGGAAAAGGAAAAAAAAACCCACCCTGGCTATATAGTGGCTTTTTGTGTATTAATTTATATTTTTGAAACTGTGGGAACAGTTTAGTGCCGGAGTAATTTTGTTTGCTGCACCTGCTTTAGGTTGGCATCCTAGGTTTTATATGATTCACTGAAACGTTGCTCTCGGGAGAGGGGAATTTTTAGGCTAGAAGAGATGCTTAACTTGCACTTTCAACTGAAAGTCAAGAATCTCTAAGTCATAAAAAGTAGCAAAGGTAAACTACCGAGTTGCAAGAAAAATCAGCAAAGCTCAAAAAATCCAAGGGCGTTTTCTGGGCTACATCTGTAGGTGTAAAATAACTACAAGGGCTACAAAAGTGTAGAAGGAGAGAATGGAAAATTTTTTATCAAATCGTGTTGTGAATGATATGTTTTTAGATTCACACCAGACAATTCACTCTCGGGGTGAAGGGAATTAGCTTGAGTGCTTGCTTCTTTATGGTTGGAGTTGTTAGAATGAATGCATGTACATAGCTTGGGTTTTTACCCACAAATTAGGAAAAAAAGCCGAAAAATGTGTGGATGTGTGTATATGTCTATATATGTGTGTGTGTATATAATTCCCCTGCTAGAAAATGCATTAATTATGAAAACATCAGTGCCTGCTTTTTTGACCATTCATTTCCAAATAAAAAATGCAGAGGTACCTAATTAAATTGACGCTGTAGTTTTTAATTTTTAAGAATGAATTCAGTGTTTGTTCATGAGGAAATGAAATGTACCGGTGGCATTTGTAGCTTACTAATAGCTAAAGGCAAGTGGTACTGATTGTGAATGGTGAGGTGTTCTGCCTTGCTGGTAAGATCTCCTTATTATTAAATATTAGTTAGCCTTAGATAGAGGATGTAAAACCTTTTTGTTTTACCTTACTGTAGTGTCTATGTAAGTAGTCCTTTTCCCTGTATCTTCTTGTTATGTAAGTTGGCTGAACTGCTGTGATTAGTTGAACTGGAAGCTTTATTACTAATGGGAACTATTTATCTATTGGCCTTAGGATCACAGGGAAAAGTTTCTTCTCAAAATAAACACATTCATATTGAAACAGTTTGTTCACCTGTTATTGAAGTGGAGGCTAATTATTAACCCACCTTGCTTGGGTTACTGGAAATTATTTTTATGTAAGACATTTATCTTGCTTTTAACACATTTATCAGGTTCATGTGGTTTTTTTACTCTCAAAATACCTTATGCTCTTTGGTTGCTGCTTCTGTTGGGCCAGCCTTGGAGAATGTTGCTAGTGGGTCAGAGGGCTCTGATTTCTCAGATAACTACATACAAACCACTCCTTTAGGCCAAAAAAAAAAAGTGAGACAGATAAACCTTTTTTAACTGATTGCAGGAGAGAGGAAAGATGTACTTGGTGCTGGCTAATAAAGGTTTGACACTACTGTCATTTTAATCTGTTTAAATTCAATTTTTCCTCCTCTCAGTAGAATTTAGTGATTCAGAAAAAAAAAAGTAGAACCGGAAAAGGTAGAGGTGATACTTTACCAGGACTAATATCTTTTGTAGAAGAAATTATATCTGTTGATAGTTCTAATGTTTTATTTGTCATATATGTACCTCTTAATGGAGCATAATAATTAGTAAGATGTGTGGACAGCTCATAGAAATGGAAGAAGGTCTAACTATGCCACAGTTGCCATGGGAAAAAAATTAAACAGAAGAAATAGTTCTTGTTTCAGGTACAAATAACTCATGAAAGCCATGGTCATAACTCTATAACAATTTAAGAAACTTCCTCCTTACAACTCAGCTCCCAGGTTCTACTATTGCCCTGTAGAGAGCTGAATTTGAGAGGGAATCACAGGCTGTTGTCTGACTCTGCTAAGTGTTGAAATGTCCTTTTTTTGATTCAGTTGGGAATTACAGTACTGCCGCTGAAAAAGAAACACAGTTGTGGGGGAACATAATAGGCAGTTGTTCCTGCAATTCATCTTGTTATCTTGTCATGTAAGGGGAGAGAAAAAAAAGATGCTAAACACGTGCACTGCAATTGCTTGTGATGTGCTACAGAAATCACTTTCTCAATACCTTGGAGTCTTTCAATTTCCTCCCTCTTTAAGGTTTAAACCCTGTGAGTCCCCCTGGTGGCAGCAGGGCTGGGGGATGTTCCACTCCCCACTGAGGCGTGGGGAGCAATGCGTGGCCCCTGCTTTCTGTTTTTGTCTTTTTTTCCAAGTCTTCAACTTCTTTTGTCTAGTGATTAAACGTGAACTAATTTAGTAGCATTGTAGTTGGAGGGAAAAAATGCAAGTTTTATGAAAGTGGGGTTTACTGCAGATAGATTCTAACGTGAGATGAAAGGTATTATATAAGTACAGCTCCAACTTGCAGTTTTTATATCTTTCTGCCTACTAGCTCTGATTTGGTTTGTTTTTCTTTTTTTCAGTGTTGGGATAAGAATTGTTTTGTATAACTGGATGAATGTAATAGACAAGGAATGGGGTGGGGAGTTCTAAATGTTTCATGCTATGCAGAGGCAAAAAGCATAATGATTTGTTTATCTAGTAGATCAAATAAAAAAAATATGATAGAGTTTTCTTCTTTGTTATCTTAAATGTATTTGGGACATTAAGTACTCCAGAGTTTTGACTGATTGATCTTTAGTAATGAGTAGTCATAGTAGTATTAGAAAGCAGAAAACACATTTTAATTAAAAAAATTGGAACTATTTATGTGTTCATTCAAGGCAAACAAGCAAAAAGTGCCAGAATAAGCTTTCAAAAAGGAAGTTCATCAGAAAAGAAAAATAATCATTAAAGTTCCTTTGTGTAAAGAAGTATCTGTCACAAAGCAGTCTGCACCTCTTATTTGAATTGTAGGTAGTAAGACTTGTCTTACATAGAATAAACTTCTTATATATATATATATTTGTCAGTCTTGAGGTAACTCTATGTTACATGTTAAAAGTCTCTTGTTTTAAGGTTTTTGGGGTTTTTTGATTGGTTGGTTTTGGTTAATGTTTCTTGCAAAAGAATGTTTTTTAGAAAAAGAATCTACATCAAATGGAGGTATACATATATAAGTAACGTGGTCAGTAGGCAGGAACATAATTTTTTGTTTCTTTTTCCCCAATAAATGCTGGCTTGTTATCTTAAAAAGTTGTGAAATATGTTAAAATTGAGTGTCAGACTTTCATCCTTGATTGGTGTTCTGGATGTTTCTATCACTCTGGTTGAGTCCTTAATGCACCAAACCAACCTGCACTAACTATTTGCTACTGGATGGCAAATAGTAGCCCAGCATCAGATGAGTAGCATGTCATTGATTGAGGTTTTTTTAATAAAACAACTTTATCCCTTCAGCAGTTTGAATCTTGACTGGTTTCAGTCTCTGCTAAAGAGCCATGGAAAGGGTCTCTGCCCTTTTAAGATTGGTTGACAATAACTTTAACAGGTTGATAGTCTGTAATTCTTATCTGTTGTTTCCAAAGGAACCATCAGCTGAATTTTCAGCAATTGTAAATTCAGTGTGGGAAATAAAACAAAATCCTTAGAAGTACTTTTTAGTTGCTAAAGTAAATAAATATATATTTTTTAGGATTCTATTACTTGCTTAGTTTCACCACTGATTTTATATACCTGGCCTCCTCTGAGTGAAAATCTGTGCACAGGAAAAAGATATGTTATTGCATGTACTATTAAATATGAGATGAAAAATATTCAAAGCTGAGAAGATGAAATCTATTAGTTAGGTGGCTTGTATGTTTTTCCTTTTATCCCTCTTTCCTAAGGAATAAGATAGTTCTAATGAACTAATAATTAGGGGGTTTTAACAAATTAGTCTTTTAAAAACGTGTCTCTCTCTGTAGTGTTCTTTTTGCGTATTCATTTGTTCTCTGATTTCATTTCACACTTCAGTCTTGTTATTAAGGTATCATGCTTTTCAATGTTTGGCTTTTCTACTTTTTCCCCCCAGTGTTTTATGTTGTTATGAACAAAAACTTGTTCTCTCTTTGCATTTTCTCAGAAACTACTAAAATTTCCCTCTAAAATAATACAAATGAGCATGTAAATATTGAAACTTAATTTTGCCTTTTGATAATAATTAAGACATGTAATTGTGCACTTTTTAAACATTTGAGGTTAATGCCTTTGAAGGTGCACATGATGAGCATGTGTAGTGAAAACTTCCAATTAATTATGCTGTAGCAGACCTGTGAAAACAGCAGTCAGCTGGTGTTGTGATGGAAATGCTTTAAAATTGTTAAATCAAAAAATTAAGTGTTCTTGCTTGCCTTGCAGCTCTTGGGTGACAAGGGCTGTAGATAAGTCCAGAGGCACGGAGTGTACAGAGACCTCTGGCCTTTGTTAGAGAATACAGATTTTCTATGAGAGGTAGAAGATTAAGAATGGAAAGATCAGCTTAAATACATTCCTTCTTTTAGTCTTTTTTTTCTTCTTTTTTCTTTTAAATAAAGCACATGCATGGATTTAATCTTGACATAGTATGTAATTTGCCTTGAAGACAATTTTCTGCGTTGAATCTGGGCTGCCTTTAGCATCAAATATAAATGGATGGAAAATGGTTAAGTTGCTGCTTATGCCCCCAGCATTTCTGCCCTCCTTCCCTCTGTCACTGAAGGATCCATTTTTATATAATGAGTTTTAGTTGGGTGACAAAGGGGAAAATTAGGGATAATCGGTGTTTGATTTGGGGGAGAAAATATGGCAAGATTTGTGATGCAAATATGGGTATCTTAGTATTCAGAAATGCTTTCAGCTAGATAAAAGTAAGAAAAATCTTTAGAAAGTAAATGAAAAGTAGAAAAACAATCATATCTAACTGACAATCTGATGAGATGGCTGCAAGTTGAACATAGTTTTAGCTGCTTTGTCAATTTGCAAGTTTAAGGCAAAGCAGGGGACAGTTGTTAAGATAGAAAAGCCTGTTACTTAGTGCTGGTATGTTTTGTAAAGTTTGCATGTCTTAAATGGTTTCTATGAGGTCCTCTGCTTTTCAGAAGCAAACCACTTTGATTTGATAGTAATTACCTGCTCACTGCTTGTTATACAACTGTTACATTCTTAATGTTTGAAATTTGTTATTTTGTTTCTACATTTAGAAACAGTCTAATAGATAAAAATATTTAAGAAATACCCTTTAATGTTGCTGCTAATGTTTGATGATTTCTTAACTTTATTTTTTTTTAGGGCTATATATAAGTTTAGCTAATTACATGGCTTGTACAAATTAATTTTCTACCAGCATAAGAGAATATGAAGGAAACCTTGCTAAATTATTTAATGTTCACTTGGGAATATGGTGAACTGCTGGTGTCAAAATCATGATTTGTGACCGAAGCACCCATTTAACCAAGTAGTTAGTCATCCATTGACATTGATGATGAACCTATGGTTTTTTTAAAGAGGAAGATTTTTCCTAATTCTTGATTCAACTGTTTTGCCAGCTTTTCAAATGTTTTTAGGCTAAAACACTACTAATTTATAATATTTATTCCGCAGCAAGTTTAACTTTATCCATCTGGGAAGTAATTTCTGCTGATATGTTATATTTCTGTCTGTTACCAACATTTTGCATTATGGTGTCTCTGCATTTCCAGGCTCCACATAAGGCTCCTTTGATGTGGACAAAGGCAGTTGTAGTGCTGGGGAGCAGGCAGCCAGGCTGAAGTGCAAGTTTTTGATAAGTGACAATTGAATAAGCCAAGGCTGTAAAAAGAAGGGCTTGGATTTAAACTAACAAGAGGTGTAACTGAAACATCAAGTAAAAGCAAGCTAAGAGTGTCCATTCTATCAGTACTCATTTGATTGAAAATACAAGATGAAATTACTTTTCTGTATGGTTTACTTCCAGCAGTGGCAAAAATAACTATTGTAGCTTTTGCAATTGCTCATCATGTAATTGATATAAGGATGACAGTTGGGAGCAGATTAAATGAAATACTGAAGAAATTAGCTGCTGAATGTCTTTCTGCTCAGTATTTTTGGGTGATGCCTCTTGCAGAACCAACATTTCTGTGAGAGCAGCACAAATTGATAACTGCTGTAGATCTCACGTAGAACTGCAGTACTGGAAAAGTGACAATGACTCACTCTCTAATTAGAAGACTGTTTAATAAAGAACATAAAATGTACTATGGCTTAGGCACATAAATTATTTGGTTTCAGTATTGGGTTGTAATGACTAGTAGTAATTTAAATGATTAGGGGTTTAAACCTTTTCCCAGACTTCTGGTATGTGGGAAGGGGTGAGTATCCAAGTATCTGGAATTGAAGCTCAGGGTGGATGTGAATGGAAAATAGCAAGTTTACAAAAACTTCATTATGTAATTCATAACACAAAGATTTTTAAATTCTTTGTACTGTACAAAGGCGTGCTTTTCCCGTGCTGTACTCAAATGAAGTGCCTTTTACTGCGAGATGATTTAAGGGATGAGCTCACAGTGTTTCCTGCAAAAATTTTACCTGCTGGCAGAGCTATATCTCATGGTTTTTAGTATAATTTTGGATGCCTAGGGAGTTACTAAAACTTTTGCTATATTCAGTTAATACTAGCCTGTTCCAAACTGATAAAAATTAAGGACATCCGTGAGAAATTGTTATTGAAGTGAAAAAGTGTGCTGCCAAATTTATTTGTACGCAAATATTACTGAAAGTTATTGGTATATTTGGAATACTGACATTCGGGAGAACTCAAGTGATACGTGACTGAAAGCATAGGAAGATTTTTATAAAAATTGCTGAATCTAAAAGGTTTTGAATGTACATTCAAAAGTTCAAGTAGACATTTTAGCTCAAACTGCTTCATTGAACAATGCGCATGTTGGAGGGGGGATAAGGCCATTTTAAGTTATTTTTTTTTTTCCCCAATGGGAAACAGTCGCTCGGGAAAACATTTTGGTTGTTACAGTTTGAGACCATGTGTAACATTAGGCACAGCAAATACTTGCCCTCATTTTGGAAAGAAGCTGGCGTTTACATCGTGTTTGTTTTTCTGCTGCAGTGTGAAGCCATCCCCAGCTGAAGGAGCCAAATCCAATCCCTCCAAGAGACACAGGGACCGCCTGAATGCGGAGCTGGACCGCCTGGCGAGCCTGCTGCCCTTCCCGCAGGATGTCATCGCCAAGCTGGACAAGCTCTCTGTGCTTAGGCTTAGCGTCAGCTACCTAAGAGCAAAAAGCTTTTTTGATGGTAAGCATTGGGAATTTATTTGGGTTTGAACTGCTTGTAAAATTCGGTTTATACTGTATGTTGGTTTCAGCTGTTTAAGTGCTTAAAACTGTTAAATTTATCTGCATTTTAATGGAACTTCCAGTTGCATGAATGTAACTGCATAAAGTAAGCTTTCCACTTTCTTGAAACCAAATGTAACTACTTACATTTCACTTAGGTCACCAGTCATTCAAAGCTTTGCTTTTGGAAGTAATATTACCCTTAATGAGTCCTTCAATCCTTTTCATCAGACTGTCAAAGATACCCAAGAGATTTCTCTTTTCCCCCTCTGAAAATTGCCTTAGTAAAACTATTACTGTTTCAAAGTATGTCATAGGACTTCCCATCCAGCTGTATTTTGCTTAAAGATTCATCAAAAATGACTTTGCTTTGATACAGAGTAATTGATAGTGCCCCTTCCTACAGTTTATTGCAAAGGTGACTTGTAAAGGATAGAGACAAAATCTTTCCCATGTCCAAGCCCTGATTAAGGCAGGACATGAGGCATTAAAGTGACAGCTAAGGTTCTGCAGTTATGTGGGCAGGTGTGCACTGACCCCAGTCGTGGCCAGGGCAATACAGCAGCACTTGGAGTAGTCATGGGGTCAGCAGTGTGTGTCCTTGGTCACCTCTGAGCTGGCTAAGGAGCCCTGTCCCCCTCTCTCTCTCTACCTGAGATGCTCTGTAGGGTGGGATGCGCTGCTTGGCTTCGTGACAGGTTCTTAAAAGGAAGGAGTAGTCTGATCCTATTCATTGCAGGAATAAAGCAAGAAGCTTGTATTGAATTGATTTTCTTTTTATCAGTCACTGAGATTTTGCAGTTATTATATTGAAGATGAAATCTTATTGATCAGCTGTAGCTCAAGAATCTTGATTGCAATGAAGTTGATATTAAATTTCAAGTTTTCTTTGGCGTTAAAACAACCTCTGTCCTCTTCAGTTTAAGATTGTCTCAGCCTCCAAAATATGGATGAAAGGGTTCAAGAAACCTGTCTAAAATAGTTCCACATTTTCCTACGGGCATACAGAATGTTAGTTTTCATTTATTGTGGCTTTAGTTTATTAGTGCTTATGAATTTATATTCTATTTTATTGTTTGAAGGATATATCTGAGTTTCTTGATTTCTGTGATTGTCAGGACAATTCTTAGTATGAAGTCTAAGCTCTAAAGCTAGAGCTGACCAAATATTTCTAGCTGTGCTTTGTCAAATGCAAATATTTTCTCCCATCAAATGAAAGTTCTCTTGGCACCTCAATTTCATGAAAATCTTTGCAAGAGGTTGTCTCAGGTAGACTGCTGTAAAAGAAATTATTTTACTTGTCTGTGTTCTCTTGGTGAATTGAAGAAGTTCTCATCTCAATGAAATGTGTTTTGTTGTGGTTGCTTTAATGATGTTTTCTAAAATAATTCCAAAATTGCAAGTTTTTGTCTTACTTGGGAGGGAGTGATAATAGTAAATCTTAATTTCTCATTCCCATTTCTTGTGGAATGGGACTGCTTGATTTTTAGTCTTCCTGCTTCTTCCCCCCCCATTTGCACTTGAAAGTCCTGGAAAAAAGCTTAAGGCTATGATTTAGAGTTTAAGGCTATGATTTCTCTACAGGGAAAAAAAGAATTGATACCTTCAGTAGAAGCTGTCTTAAAGGGTTTTATTAGCAGAAGAAGTCTTTTTGCTACTTCTTTTCAGATCTTTGTGTTGTAGGACTACAAATCAGGTTAGTATCAGTCTCCATCTGAAGGTATTTAAAGACTAACATCAATGACTTCAGTGAAGATAAAAGCAATCAATTTGTGACTGGCAGAAGAGTGAAAATTAAGATGTTTATACTATTTTAGTTGTCTTAAATAACATGAAATTTATTTCAGTAAAATTCACCTTCAGAAAAAAAAATTGGTACTTTGAAGAACAGAATTAGCAAAAAAGCCCTGAAAAGCCGCAGGTTTGATTTTCATGCTCTGTCTGTGCAGTGCTTCTCAGAATGATTTTTTTGAAAGAGCGTTTTGTGTGGTTGGATATTTGTGGAAAACCCTGCAGAATAAATCTGACAAATGTAAGAGGGAGCACTGATTGTCACCTTGAGTGCCCAGGCTGAGCCAAGGCTCCACTTTATTAACGCAGCATGCTGAAGTGAAGGGAAACGCTAAATGAATAACAGGATGCAAATGGGGGGTGTGTAAATTCCTGCGGAAAGTAAAATATAAACGCGTAATCATATGATCTTGCTTGAAAGGAAACCCAAGGTTTTGCTGTAACAATAGATATTTTTTTCAAAGAAAACACTTGCATTTTTCCAAGTTTAAATAATCTACAGTGAATGTCTGTTTTCTGAAGTCGGAAGTCTGTGAGGAGAAAAAGAACTGTTTTGTGAAAGACATATCAAAGAGTTACATCAATTTGAATAAATGTGCCTCACTTAAATATCTACAGAGTTTTCTGGTGTTACTTAAAAGCTAAATGTGTGTGTGTGTTTATATATATATATATATATATATATATATATATAAAATAAATGAGTGGGAGTTTAATTTCCCCTAGTTATTAAGATGGTAGAGTGGTACAGAATGTTCTCTGGAGCTAGAGACAGGTGAGTTTTTCTATAGTGTCTACTGAAATATGGTAGACCTCTGCATGCTTGCAGCATTTCAGGTTGTAGGAAATAATTGCATCCATTTTACTCTTCCACAACTGCAAAAGATCTTAGTGTTGGTGATTGTATTCTGTTGGAGCAGTGGCTTTTGATTGTTGTTTTTTTGTTAATGAAGTTATTGTGCTGCTAAGTGACCCTTTACATCCACTATAGTTTGGTGTGATCGGGGTAGTTTCAAGTCCACATGATGTCAGCAGGCTTCCTGTATGCCCATGTCAGGCACACTTTTATATGTACAGATTTCACCTTACTCAAGGAGGAAATTGTAGTAGTGGATTAAAATAGTGAGTCTCAAGTCTGTTTCTTTATAAAGTCTTGTGTGGCAAGTCAAAGCTAAAAATGGTTTAAGGTGGTGTCACTTCTCAGCTGTGCACTTCTACCTGCTGTACTGAAGTGGATTAGCAGTCCTCAAAGTCAAGCAGGTTAGCTTAAATCACTGCTGGAGTGTTTATTTTGTGCATGTAAGATACTTTCTCAAAGTGGCTTAAGGCAAGCTTTTCATATATAAGAGACTGGGATGAATCAGGCAGGTGTCTGCTGACAATCACTAAAGCCTTTGTGTGTTGTCCTGGTATTATTTCATTTTCCTGTTAAGTGCTCATGCATGTGTGCATTCAGCAGTGAAAAATATAAAGTAGAATGTGGGACAACAGCTCTTTGTGTGGATGCAGGTTAGTGTGAGCTCAGCATCTGGAGCACAACTGGAAAATCATTTAGGCATAGCCTGTGTTCCCCATGCATACTAGAGGAAAAAGCCCTTTTGCCTCTAGCTTTGGTTGTTGGTTATATGATTAATTGGTAATCATTAGAGTACTCTACTGTGGTAAAGAAAAGCATTCTTAATCGTTCTTGGGATTTTGGTTAAACAGATTAAAGGGTTAAAAGTAGAGTTTGTATGACTGATCACTTTTTTAATGTTAGGGGCATGATTTTTCTTTTTAAAGGTGTACTGAGAATAAAGGAGAGCCTTGCAGAATCTAAAATGAAGTAGCTGTGCTATGTGTGCATATCAATACATTAGAAGCAAAATTCAACATGTTGCTTATTAATTGTCCTTTCATCCATTTTACTAAGAATTCCTGTGGTTTAAAGTATTTGGGTTTTTTTCCCTCTCTTGCTTATTGGGCAGTATTTTGCATTTATAGAAGAAAGTTTCCGCTCAAAATTAGTTTAGAATTGGTTTCTTATGTGGGATGCTAGGGATTCTGGCAAGAACAGCAATAACAAAATAATTAAGATTTATTTTTTCCACTAAGTTTGCATTGCCTTTTTTCTTTAACTTTGTAATATAATTAACACACATTCCTTGGCATCGTATGGCTTAAATTTGCAGTGCAGCCATTGTCATCACATAGAATATATTTTTTGATAATGTATTTTTCCTGTCATGCCCACTGTTCTATCATGCTATGTGCTGGAGAGAACAGACTGCATGTGGTTCCTGTTCTGGAGCATATGGCTAAGATGCAGAAATGGGAAAGACAGGCAAAGTGGGAGACAATGTGTTTATTCTGTCACACTGAGAAGGGCAGCAACATTTTGCCAGTCTAGCAGATACAGATAGCCCTTCTGCCAAGTGTCAGATGGTGGTCTGGAACAGAAACCTGAAAGCGCAAAAGTGATTAAAATGCAGCCCAGTAAGACCAGGATAATACAGTAGCTCTATTTTAGACATTTATCATTTTTGCCTGCTGTGTGTGTCTAATGCAGTTTTCCTCGTGTATTATTTGAAGGTGTGACTTCCCTTTCATGTTATACCTCCTTTCCCTGCTCCTGTTGTTGCATACATAGATAATTGATCTCCACACCAGGAAAAGCTACAGTCCTGTAGAGCAGTGAAGTTAGGCTGCAGTTACTGCTTTGGTGTGTTTATGTGGATGCTGTGTAGGAATTTGCTGCTTCCAGCATCTTCTAGTGGGTCTGGCTGGTATTACTTTATTCATGACTATCTTGAGCTGTTTTTCTACACCCAAGGTAGAAAATACCCCATAGTTTGGTTGTTCTCTAATTACTTTTCTGTATCTGGTATTTTGTACCACGCACATTAAATAATTTTCACAGTTTTGAATGCAATTCTTTGAATCTTGTCTGAGAGTTGGAGGAAAAAAATATTGGGGAAAAAAACCCCAACCCAAACAAACCAACTCTTGTTTCCTTTTGTACTGTCTTTCCCTGGCCCAAATACAAAATTAATACAAAATTTGAACCTTGGAATTGTATAGTTATTTCAGTATCAAGCTACCATACCATTCATGTTATTTCCTAATCCATCTAATCCATGCTTCTTTTTTCACTGCTTGTCTCTTTATTTTTTTTTTTTTTCCTCCTCC